ACACGCATTTTGTATTATTATTTATGTTTGAAATGTGATATTTGTAACATTTTATTTACAATTTTAAATAAATTAATAAAGAGATAATAATTAATTCTAGAGAATAGAACAATATTTTAAAATCTGACAACACTGTCCTTGAACAGCAATCAATGCTTAACACTGATTTAAATTCGACATGAAGTCGAAAATCAGTGTGACACCACTTCTATTAAAGAAATTTGTTAATAAAAACAACGTGACAAGTCTCACGAATGAAGTATTTTAAGTTGCTAAGAAATTATGTAGTTTATATTCTTAAAAATATTATATTGTTTTAAAATCGCGTTTAAGTACTATGCTCCACACCTCAAAGTCCCACGTGACCGCGTACGGAACGCAGTCTTTTAAACATTTGGCATTTAAGGCTTTTCAGGTTATGTATCTGTCAAAGTATAGTCAACGAAAGAAATAACATTATGTTTAGGCGTTAAAAATGTATAAATCTTTATAACATTAGAATAACAATGGACTTTTTAAGAATTTAAGAATATAAATACTGCATTTAATGAAATTCTAAAGTGTATGGTGCCAAATAAGTGATATTTTTGTGCATTTGGTCCAAATATCTGGTTTTCTCCATAAAATAATTTTAACTAAACAGCTTTTATTAAAAAAATCTAGCTTCTCTATTATGGAATAAGAATATCTGTATTAAAGGTAGGTTAATAAACTCCTGGACAAAATTAACGCAACATCATTAATTTGCCACAATTTTTATGTTATTTTTCTTTTTAATTTATGATCCGATTTGAATGATTTTTTTTTTGCATTGTAGGTTGGTTTCTTGACAATGTCATAATTTTTGCTGTTAATGATAAAAAGTTCATTTTCGATTTATACCGGGTGTAATAAAAATGTAATGTTTTTTTCCGAAAATTCGTAACACCCTGTGGAGTATACTAGCAACCGAAACATATAGCAGTTGACATTAGACGGTAGGTCCATCTTTCGCCAACATTTTCTTCTTTGGTTTACTTTATTAGCTCTGTTATTAAAGGAGATACGCCGTTTTATAGCGTAACATGATTTTATAGACTTTATTATTCAAAACAATCATTGACTTGAATTGAATCATTAAATGTTTTCAAGTAGGCTATGGACCTTTTTTGACATTTCAAGCGATGTGTCAATATCGAATACATTATTTGTTATCTGTATAACTGTATAATTTCTACCTTACGTTCTGTGATTTCTGCTCGCTTTGATAAATGACAACAAAATTAACTTTATTTAATAATAAGATTACAAGTGAGTTTATTAAACACAATTTTTTTGGAAAATAGTGAAACATGAAAAGAACAAAAATCAAAAACAATAAAATTAAAGGATTTATAATGTTAATAACGTGTATGCCCACCTCTACTTCTAATAACTGCATTCATACGCCTCGGCATACTGGAAATTAAATTTTGTATTGTATCTTGGGGAATACCTTCCCATTCTGCAATTACTGCATCCACCAATTGATTGTGATTAACCGGTACGGGATTACGACTTCGAATTTTTCTTTTAAGAGCATCCCAAAGATGCTCTATGGGATTTAAATCGGGACTGTAAGGTGGCCATTCCATCAACGGAATAGCTACAGAGTTCATGTACTCTATAACTTGTCTAGCCACGTGGGGACGAGCATTATCCTGCATAAATAAACTATTCGGTCCCAAAAAAGGAACAAATGGCATTACATGTTCAATTACAATGTTTTCTAGATAATAATCGGCGTTCATTGATCTTACACGAATAGGGACTAACTCTGTGCGTCCGTTGAAGCATATTCCTCCCCAAAACATTACAGAGCCTCCACCAAACGGGATTTTAGGAGAGATATTGCAACTTGCAAATCTCTCTCCTGCCCTTCGCCAAACACGTTCAGGCCCATCAGGAGAATTGAGACTAACTCTCGTTTCATCTGAAAATAAAACCTTCTTCCAATCATTAACAGTCCAATGTTGATAATTTCTGGCAAAACGTAATCTTGAAACTCTGTGCTCTCTCGTAAGTAATTGTTTCTTAGCCGGTCTTCTGTTGCTTAAACCAGCCTCATTTAAACGTCTCCTGATTCTTCGAGACGATATTGTATGATGGCGAGCAGTTCTAAGCTCACTTTTTAGCCTAGTACTAGTGATCTTCCTGTTTCTTAGAGCAGTTTGCCTAATAAAACGCTCATCCCTTGGATCGGTACATGGTTTTCGACCTTGTCCTGACCTTCTAGAGTAAGATCCTGTCTCGTTAAATCGTTCAACCATACGACTTATAGTCGAACGATGTCTTCCTATCACATTAGCCACATGACGCATTGAATAGCCCTCATCCACCAAAGTTAAGGCTCTTACCGCTTCTTCTGTCGATAAATGTTTTGGACGATTCATTTTTTAAGATTAAAATACGAAACGAACGTTTAATAAGCAGTTTCCGAACAGTTTTTATTAGTATGGCAAATTTAATTTGACATTAGTGGACATTTAATTTGACATCTGTGGACACATCGCTTGAAATGTCAGAAAAGGTCCATAGCCTACTTGAAAACATTTAACAATGAATATTTTGAATAATAAAGTTTATAAAAACATGTTACGCTATAAAACGGTGTATCTCCTTTAATAACAGAGATAATGAAGTAAACCAAAAAAGAAAATGTTGGCGAAATATGGACCTACCGTCTAATGTCAACTGCTGTATGTTTCGGTTGCTAGTATACTCCACAAGGTGATACGAATTTTCGGAAAAAAACATTACATTTTAATTACACCCCGTATAAACTAAAAATGAACTTTTTATCAAAAACAGGAAAAATTATGACATTGTCAAGGAACCAACCTACAATGCAAAAAAAAATCATTCAAATCAGATCATAAATTCAACAAAAAAAATAGCAAAAAAAATGTGTCAAATTTATGATGTTGCGTTAATTTTGTCCAGGAGTTTATATTATAACAAAAATATCATCTAATTTTGTAATTTTAAGGTTAGAAAAATTTATTTTGACCAAAATAAATAAGTATTTTGGATTATTCAAAAGACAGTACAATATGGTATTTAAAAATGTGGTAGTTTTTCTTATCCAGCTTAAAGTGTACCTACATAAAGTTATGTCAATTCAAATAGTTAAAAAGCTTCGACTGAATTTGATCTACATCGAAAAATCATTATAACTTTAATATTTTAATAAATCACTTGTCATGGGAGTATTAAATATTTTCACATTGCAAGTTTCTCTAAAAATTGTTTGTTTTCTTATAATCTAACTTAAAGTAGGTATGCCGAGAGGTATGCACAAGTTTTGTCGTTAGAAGTATGAAAGCTTCAATTTAATTTGAACCATATTCAACAATTATTTAGTATACCTATATTTATTTATGACCATACACACTTCCAAATAATCCACTTATTTATTTTGGTCAAAATAGATTTTTCTAACCTTAAAATACAAAATTACATGATATTTTTTGTTCTAATACATTAACCTACCTTTGATACAGATATTCTTATTTTATAATAGAGAAGTTACATTTTTTTGAATAAATCCTGTTTAATTAAAACTATTTTATGGAGAAATGTAGACCCAATGCACAAAAATATCACTTATATTGCACTTTTGCACACTTTGAAATTTCATTAAATGCAGTATTTATATTCCTAAATTCTTAAACAAACCACTGTTATTGTGATACTATAAAGGTTTATTAACTTTTAACGCTTAAACATAAGCGGTAACACTATAAATATTATTTATTTAATTGACTATGCTTTGACAGATACATAACCTGAAATGCCTTAAATGCCAAATTTTCAAAAGACTGCGTTCCCTAAGTGGTCACGTGGTGGGACTTTGAGGTGTGGAGCATAGTACATATGTACTAGAGGCAGGAGTTTTAAATTTGTAACATAATTTTAAGAATTTTTGACTACTCTGTTATTATATGGTGACCTGTAAGTTTACATTTTTTTGCTGATTTCGAGCTAAACGCGATAGATGGAACCACTCTTCCTATGTAATTTCAATGTATTTTCATTATTGTACGGCGGTGTATAATAATGGCGTAAAATAATTTTCATTTTATATAGAAAGACTAGTTTAAAAGTCAAATTATTATTTGTACTTTGTACAGAAATAAAGCTAAAATGTTATTATTGAAAATTGAAAATTATGTGACAGAATCTTAATTTTTTTTTAATGAAATGTCTGAATAAAAAATAGGATATAAAAAACGGTATAGGATATTAAAAGGACCACTACTATTATCACCTAGATCGATATTGTTTTCGGTAGAAATATTTTGTAGAGGCAAATTTAAATTCAATGTTGCCAATAACTCAATTTCTTGACAAAATATAATGTGGTCGTATTTGCAATTTTTGTTAAAATAGTTTTATTATCTAAAATATTTTTTTTATCTTATTATTTTGAACGAAAAAATGACTGCAGTATTTGCATACTTTCGTGTATTATGGGCGAATTTTTTATTAAAATATTCGCATATTTTAGTCAGAAAAATTAAAAGTAAGTTTACCATAAAAAAAAACGTAAAAAATAGGCATGTGGTACTAAGTGTAAAAAAACGGCGAATAAAATAAACAAAAAATTATGTTTTTTTTCACGTTACATCTCTACCAATACGTAAATTTGGCATATCCGTTTTATGCGTTTCCTGTGTTGCCTTTAAATTGTTTCGACAATAATATCAAGTTACTTTCAACCATCACAAAATCAATTGGAAACCTTACATTACATTTCAATAAATCTTCCATATTCTATTTTTGTATTTATTTTTATTTGTTTATATTTATACTCATTCGCAAAAAATCCCTTTAAAAAACATGTTTACATTACTTAGGAATGTATAAAAGCAACAACAGTAGGTACTATTTTATTTACCTTACAATGAATGTATAACCGTTTTAGTCCCTAACGCAAAATAAAATCGTGAAAATCGTCCTAAACCGTTGTTCGATTGCAGATGCATCTCAAAGTATCCACTTGGAGGCCATCATGAAAACGTCGGAATGGCAGCAGAAGAGCACGCGAATGAAGACTTTGAAGGTGATGTCTCGAGCGGAAAAACTCGAAATGACCTCTTTGGAACATAGATCTAAAAAATTGGAGCACCGAAAGAAATACGGACGGCTTCTGAAGCCGAGCACCATGTCTGCGTTATCTGCCAGTAAGTAACATTGTTAATTTTGTATTATCTTAATAATTAAAATAACGTAAATACATTCTCAATTTGATGTACGTTTATATTAGGGTATAACAAAGTAGTCTTTTTTTAAATTCCCTTGTTTTTTGGTCTATATTTGTATCAATAAATTATATTAGCCTACTTTACAGTTTCAGATGGAATCATTTTACATTATTGTTATTACTATTTATACTAAAGAAAAATAGTAAAACTTCACCAAAATATGCGGCAAATAAGTACACTGTGTACATTAGGGTGGAGTGAATTTTTTTAAATTTATTAATTGATTTTTCCTATATTATTAATTGTTGACTAAAGTCGTAAAATGAATAAATATCGAAAAAATATTCCAATTTTTTAATATCTTGAGGTGGCGCATCTGTCTCGAAGTTTTGAAAATTCTAAAAAAATATTACTTTAATCGAAGTAATAAAAATAGCATTATTTATAAATAAAAAGTTTATTTTAGTAAAATTAACGTGAAACGTAAACATATTTAATAGTAAATCATATGCTTTAAGTAACTTCAGGAGTGTTTATTGGTAGAAATGAGATCTTCTTTTTCGCGAAAATACTGACATTTGGTATCAAAATTTGGTAATTATTTTCTGACTTTAATTCTTGTTCTGATGAAACCATTTCTTGCTTCCGATCCACAAACCGAGACTGAAGATTCAGTATACTGGTTATAACCAGTTTTACACAGCGTTCCACTGCTTGGGTGTGACACTGAAATTTTTGGAAGTATAGGAAATGGTCACCCGAAGAAATCGTATCGAAAATTTCTGTCATCGTATTTCATAGTCATAGGTGGTTCAGTCACCTTTTCTGTCGCCCAGTGGATTAACTGTTACAAACGTAATGCTTCAGTATTTAGTTGTGGAAGCTTTAATTCCCGTAATCTCGAACATTTTGATTCTTTTCTCGCCTTTAATATTTTCGGCAATGCTAGTTCTCTGATCGATAGATATATTGTAGGTAACATAGCAAGTAATAGGTTTTCGGGATAAATATGTCGCTGAATATTCTTTATAACTATAGTTATAAGGCCTTCAATTTTTTCTGGAGATGTAATGCCCTTTTAGTCATATTAAATATGTGAATAGGACCATGTTTGCACGTAGGCTTGGTGTTGATGTAAAACCACGTTGGGGCATACACTTTCATGATAAAAGTAGCCAATTCTTTTAGGTTTTCCGATGGATTTGCTGTCCCCCCATATAAACGAATAATCATATTAGCCCACGTCAGCCATAGGGAATGTGCTAGCTTGCCTGGATCTTTGTAAGCTATAGCTAATATTTATCCCGAAAACCTATTACTAGCTATGTTACCTACAATATATCTATCGATCAGAGAACTAGCATTGCCGAAAGTATTAAAGGCGAGAAAAGAATCAAAATGTTCGAGATTACGGGAATTAAAGCTTCCACAACTAAATACTGAAGCATTACGTTTGTACGAGTTAATTCACTGGGCGACAGAAAAGGTGACTGAACCACCTATGTATAGGTGGTTCAGTCACGACTATAGTATATATGAAATACGATGGCAGAAATTACCGATATGATTTCTTCAGGTGACCATTTCCTATACTTCCAAAAATTTCCGTGTCACACCCAAGCAGTGGAACGCTGTGTAAAACTGGTTATAACCAGTATACTAAATCTTCAGTCTCGGTTTGTGGATCGGAAGCAAGAGATGGTTTTATCAGAACAAGAATTAAAGTCAGAAAATAATTACCAAATTTTGATACCAAATGTAAGTATACTGACATATATTTTCGCGAAAAAGAAGATCTTATTTCTACCAATAAACACTCCTGAAGTTACTTAAAGCATATGATTTACTATTAAATATGTTTACGTTTCACGTTAATTTTACTAAAATAAACTTTTTATTTATAAATAATGCTATTTTTATTACTTTGATTGAAGATTTTAAAAAATTGGAATATTTTTTCGATATTTATTCATTTTACGCCTTAAGTCAACAATTAAAAATATAGGAAAAATCAATTAATAAATTTAATAAAATTCACTCCACCCTAGTGTACATTGTCCATTGTACATTGTCCACGGTGGGGTTACAGAGAGGGAAATTTAATTCTTGATAAAAGTTTTTGCTTTATTTCAAACCCCCAGAGTATGCCAAACATCAATTTTATTGCCTATTAAAATTTGCTATTTTGATTTTTGTGACAATTTCGAACCGACATTTTGGTCAGTTTTTGTACATTTATTTATTTTCTTTCCAACAAATGAATGTTATTATCGCGGTAGGTAGAAATCTCTAGAGAATTTTTACCTATGAAATTGTATAAAAAATGCATAAAACGGCAATGAAAAATGTATTTTTCGTGATAAATTGAAAAGTAAAAGCTTTGATGACCAAAAGTGATTTTAATCGAAAAAATTTCGGTCAAAAATTTTTACTGTATACTTAGCATGGTTTTAAAATTTTCGAAACAAATTTTGATGTCGAAAGAAAAAAATGGAAACATTTTGAGCAAAATTTATTTAAGTACTTACTTACATTTTTATTTAAAGGGTAATGGGAAAAAAATGGAAATGTCTTTTTTTCTGAAAATTTACTAATTTTTACTGATAATCATCATATGTATAATCATATAATATAATGTGTATGATAATTAATAATTATTTTAATCCAGTAAGAATATTCTACCGAGCCGCAAACAAACATATTCGGAGCTGTATTTACATAAAACTATCGTTTTATTTGACACATCGATTTATAAAATTATTATTTTGTAAATGGATATTTCAATGGACTCCCTTTTTACGTTTATTTTCTTAAGCAATTAAATTTAATTTATTGTTTAGTTTTATTTGTTTTTTTTTGTAATAAAAGATATTTTTTATTAAAATAATAATATATTAAGAAAAAAATATATATTCGGTGCTGTTTTTTTACCGATATTACCTTTTTGCCGATTTATCAATCGCACCCGAAGCTGCTTAAGTTATGTTTAAGGAGAATTCATTCTATTTATGTTTATTTGTTACTAACTCATTTTGTAGTACCTAAAGACTAATAATACACCGATTTTGTCCATATAAAGTGTTTAATTTTTGTACTTGTAACACCCGAAACAGAACCATGCTAACACCTGAAACAAAGAAAAATAGTAAAACATTATTTGTGACAGTGATTATCAAAGACCGGATTTTCGGCCGTTAAAAATTGGAAATTAGGACTCATAAATAGGCAATAAAAACCTACATTTTAGGCCGATTTAGGCCAAAAGTGCCTAAAATAGCCGATATGAAATAAAAACAACATGATTGAACATAACATTTATTTAGGTACTATCAATAAAAATAAATCAAAAAATATATCTCTCAATATAAAATACATGATAAAAATAATAACACAAACTCTAGCAAACAATATTGCCATATGGGCCATACGAATAATCATAAAAGTAAAATATCTTACTTAAAACAATAAGTAAATTTATTTACTATTACATTAATATTAATAAAAACCTTTTCCTGTGTATACCATTTGTACTATATTACAAGTTGTTATATTATATTTGTTAATACAATTAAAAAAAAGTGGACCTCTTGGAATAAACTTTTTTTACTGTGTAGGTATGTTACAACTTTATCCCTGCTTTGGCCTTGGGCATTACTAGGATTACTAAAATAATAATAAATTGTTGGCAATATTAATAGTTTTTGTAAATGAAATACCTATTATTTAATTAAATCTCTATAAACTTACCAACAAATACCACAGACAAACAAACAAACAAAATTTGTCTGTGACAAATACAATCAAAAGCACGATACGTTGATTCCAACGGTTGTCAAAGTTGCTTTATCCATCTATTGCAATGAAATAGTTATTTGTTTTACAAGTGTTGAAAAGCGACTTTTTCATGCGAGGCCGAGTGTGCATTAACACGAGCTTGAAGAAAGCTTTGTTTTTTCTGCGACCCTTTTATTTTTTATTATTTTTAAATACAAAACAAAATAACCTAAAAACTTTTTTGACAGCTGAATGTCAAAAGATGCTTTCCGGTTCTTTTCACACAGACCTGTCACTTTTCACACAGAAATGTCACTTTACATTCGTGTTTTGCCTTGCCAATGAAAAGATTCATTTTCTAAGCAACGATGCCATCATGAAAAGTGACTTTTACATAGTGGTCGTAGAAAAAATATATTTTAGGTCCATAAAAATGTCCTTTTAGGACGATAAATCAAAATGTCGCCATTTTAGGCCATTTTTTTAAGTTTAGGATTAATTTCAAGGTCCCAAACAAATGACTAAAATAGAAACAAAAAGGCATTTTGCCTAAAATCCGGTCCTTGGTGATTATGTTGTAGATGGTTAGTAAATATTATACTTTTGGAGGCCTGTAATTTTTAAGAATGTGTCCCTAAGAAAATTCGCTGAATTTCAAAATAAATGTAACAATGGTCAAGACATAAAGGCAGAATCGTGAAACACCCGAAACGCACACTTTTTGACTTATAAAATCGTTATCCTATATGCTAAACTGTACTCATTTTACAATTTAGATAACAACTAAAAACGTAGGCACTTTAATTGCTAAAATGTTATTTCAAAATACATACAAATTTATACTTTGGTTGAACAAATGTAACACCCGAAACGATGGAATGACCCTTTAAAAACGTTCCTTTTTAGAGTAAAAAAATAAAAACAATAACTCTAAAAACGTTCTATTTTAGAGTTGAAAAACAAGATGAGGGGTCGCAAAGCGTCACGCCACTCTTTGAACCGACTGAGCAGAAAACGGCACACGGCCAAGGTGGCGATGGCGCAGCTGAACGCGCTGGCTTCGGAGGGCGCGGACGACGAGATCGAGTCGATCGGCAACAGCGCGATGGGATTGCCGTCGATGGACTCGCCTTCGTCGTCGCCGTTGCTGCAGATGCAGTCGATTTCCGGCTACACGCGGAAAAATCGCATCCATTCGTACGACATCGACAACATCGTGATCCCTTACAGCGTTGCCGCGTCGACGCGCGTCGAGAAGCTCCAGTACAAGGAGATTTTGACGCCCAAGTAAGTACCACCAAGTTGCCTAACCTTTTTTTTTAATTTCTACTAAATATTTTAGCATTTTCATCATCAATTTTAAAAATATTAAAGGAATTATAAAGAAATAAGTTATGGTTAATTTTTTTAAATTTTATTTATGTTTGAGGGTGCATTTTGAAAAAATGTACTGTAGAACAGGTCTGGCAACGCTGCTTATGACAATTGCCGCGCGCGCGGAATTGTGCTCAACCTGCCTGACCGACTTAAAAAACATAATATTACCTTAATAATAAGTTTTGTTCAATATAAAAACACATACAGTGTGACCCAATTGTTTGCGACTCACCCCTGTAAAATCTTTATTTATTGTGCGGTTTTAAAGTTAGATCTTGATAAACTATTTTTGGAGCAAAAACGTCATATTTTTACAAAATACAAGGCCTACTTTGTCAGTTTTTAAGAGTAAATTTTTAAGAATTCATAGCGATTTTTTAAACAAAATCTAAGTACGACACTGGATTCACCACCCCTCAAAACGACCCTAAATTTTATTGAAAAATGTTAAGTAGAAAAATGCACAATAATAACTACAAAAATGTATTCTGTCAAGTTATCCATGAAAAAAACATAAATAAAAAGTTTAATTTTATTTCGATGTTTTTTTCATGGATAACTTTACAGAATAAATTTTTGTAGTTATTATTGTGCATTTTTCTACTTAAAATATTTCAATAAAATTTAGTAAAGGTTCGTTTTGAGGGGTGGTGAATCCAGTGCCGTGCTTAGATTTTGTTTAAAAAAATCGCTAATATGAATTCTTAAAAATTAACTCTTAAAAACTGACAAAGTAGGCCTTGTATTTTGTAAAAATATGGCGTTTTTTACTCCAAAAATACAGTTTATCAAGATCTACACTTTAAAACAAATCCTGTTAAAATCGCACAATAAATAAAGATTTTACAGGGGTGAGTCGCAAACAAATGGGTCACACTCTATAAAAGTACAATACCTAATTAATAAAATATAAAAATACGAGACAATAATAATAATAATATATTATATTTGTTTTTATTTAAGACATTTTTAACAGTTCATAAAAAGTGTGAAACCAGCCTTATTAATTTCGCTTTAAAAGTGTGATGTTGGCACACAATTTATATCTAGCGAGCTTTCAAGGTCCTATCGAAGGGTACCCAAAAAATGTCCATTTATTATGATGAAAATTTAATTTGTCCATGGATTTCGTTTCACTACATATATTCGTACAACCTAAAAAAAAGTTATGATGTAATGATTAATAATTATTTGCGTACCTCAAATAAAGTCAGAATGTGTTTTAACGCAACTTTTAAGTGTATTTCCATTTTCAGGTCATGTTTGTAATTCCTTAAATCAATTTAACTGCCGTAAAGTACATTCTGTAGGCGCGAATTTTAAATTAGATACATAATTTTAATAACTGTATTTAACTACGCTATTAATGGTTTTAATAAGGAAAAAGGTGTGAACTGTCAACGAAATTTGTTATGATCGTATTTTTAGGAAAACCGCATACGTTTTTAACCTTAAAAGACGAAAATGTTAATGTAAAGTGCAACCTTGGCTAGATATTTATCGTGCAATACCTACCCTTCCTCTCATTCTTGTAATATTCACTTTTATATGTGTTCTAAGATTTTGTGGAATGTAGGGTACATAACAAATATAAAACAACAATTAAAAAAAGTGTCTTTTCTTTTTTTTATTTTGTTTTTTATTTGAATAAAGTTTGTGGCGCTTAATATGGGTGTGGCTTAATTAAAGTACATGTTACAAATGAAATGAAAATTTTATGTCGTGTGTTTATGACCGATTTATCGGAACGTCTGAAACAGTATAATTTAATCAATATGGAGGTAAAAGATTCCCAGAACTCCAATTTTGTGGTTTCATCTTGAAATGGGCAATGCTAAAGTTTAATTTAAATCTTGATTCCATGAAGAAGCTTTTTTATAAAGTTTATACAGATTACAAGAATCTCATCGACTTGGTATTTTGTTATTTTTTTTGCTTTCTCCTTCATTTTAAAAATTGGATTAGGTTTAAAAAAAAATGTTAATAGCAGCTATTTTTTTGTAAAAATTAATAAAAATATAAAATGTGGGCCAATTTTCAAGCTTTTTAATTGAATTTTTCGTATCTTGGCCTTTAAAATGTAACAAAACTACAAATAGTTAAGTCGGTAAATCCGATAGAATATTTGTTTATTTAAATAGGTAAACCTCGAATAAAGCTTCCAAAGTAATTTTAAACTATTTATGATATTAATAAAATACTGCAAAGTTGTTTCTATTCATGGATACCTACCTACTTTTTATAAACAATGGTATGAAGTTTTTATAAAATCTATACTATTTTTTCTTCATATTTATAGGTGGAGGTTGGCAGATCCAGATTTTGGTGTCAAGTCTGAAGTCAAAAACAATGGAATAGTTCGTGATCCTAGTCAAGATGAGGATGTAAGTTTTTAACTCATACATTCTAACATTTTTCTATTTTTATTGTTTTATTAATGTATAACAAGTTTTTCTTTACGATGCCTTTAATAATTTATGCTTCTTGAATAAAGAACACAATATTTTGGTTTTTTTGCAGGAAAGTGTTATACATTTATAAATCCAGTAAAAATTTGAACCGCTTTACCTTAAGCTTTACTGTAACATTTTAACATGTTTAAATAATGCAATAAATGGTTATAAAATTTAACTATACAATCAATGTGGGAAAATTCTGAAGTGGGCCACATAAATCTGGAGTTTCTTCTAACTCTGGGACCAGATTTTAGGCAGGATTTAGCTCCTTTAACAGCATATAGATTTTATCATCTTATAGATAACACTAGTTTACAAAATCGAAAAAAAATTCTGCCCATATAATTTTTCCATGTATTTTGACCCACTAAACACGAAAATCACACTATTTTTTTTATGGAAGCGTTTTTGAAATATGAATTTTCAATTGGTTTTTTTTTTTCAATTTTTGTTTTGACGTTTTTGAGTATATCTTGAAATCTAATTTATCGATTTGGTCAAACAAGCCCTTAAACAGAAGGTATTTGAGCCCTCTAAAACTTTCTTTTACAGACTTTTGTTATTTAATAACTTAAAAAATTCTTTTTTCTGGCAAAAATTGAGGTCGAAAATTTACATATCGTCCTGGGAAAGGTTTAAATCAAACAGATAACTTCAGTTTAAATTTTTTTTCGTCAAGCTGACATTTTTACAAAAAAAAACAAGCAAATGTTGATAAAAATACATGAAAAAATGTTATGAATTTTTTAGTGGAAGACCAAAATTCAGCTTTTTGACGATTTTTACTTTTTTTGTAATATGTTTATTTAATGAAAACCTAATTAAAGTGCATGATTGGAATATTTTGAGTTTTTTACGTACTTCTTTCACCGAAAACATTATTCAAAATTTAAATTTGACTTGACTTCGCAAACGTGAATTCTTTTGTTTCTCGTGTTGGCATAGTGACATTTTACTGCTATTTTTTGATATTTCAACAAGGTATTTTTATCATGGTTTTATTTAGTTAATAAAAAGTGTAAAATGAGTACAAGAAGTAGAGTTCGAGTGCGTAAATAATCCGGACAATCTGGGCGACGTAAGTGATGAGCACCGAGAACGTTATCACCAGCAAAATTTTCGATTTCAGAAAGATATGTAAATTTTCGACCTCGATTTTTGTAAAAACAAAAGGACTTTTTCAACTTATAAAATCGTCAGTACCGAACTACTGAGTCGATACCAAAACTATACCAGAAAAAGTTGTAGAGGGCTTAATTACCTTTGATTTAAATCGATCAATTAAAACTCTAAAACGTCAAAACACCTCAGAAAATTAAAAAAAAAAATTTGAAAACGCATCCATCAAAAAAATTTTAAGTGTGATTTTCGCGTTTAGTGAGCCAAACTACACAAGAAAATCATAGTGAGACATGGTAGGCAAAATGGCTGCAAACTAGTGTAATTATTTGAAGTACAGTCTCCGGCAAAAATCTAACACACAAAAAGTGGAGATAGTCGGTTTTGCTATGACAGGCCTCATATCTAGGGTTTCAAAATTTCCGGAAAAATTGAGCCGGCGAAAAAAATGTTTTTTCCGGAAAAAAAAAAACGAAAAAATTGGAAAATTTTCAGAAAAATTGACTTGTTCATTTTTAAATTTTATTCAAAGGGTAAAACAAAAAAAAATGAAAAAGTCAATTTTTCTAAAAATTTCCATATTTTTAAGGATAATATCCGTACACTGATATCGAGAAAAAAATTAATTTTTCTACTCATATTATGGAATATGACCGTTCTAATATCACTTTTATCTATGGAATGACATATATTCTGTAAAGTGTTACAGAATGAAATATTCTATCATCTGATGACAGAATATACACTCGTGGCGACATCTCTGTTTTTAATATCTAACAAATTTTAGACAGATCCAACCTCACTTTGTTTAAATTAAATTATTTGTCTATGGTATTTTTTGGAAACGTAGAAAAAGTATAGTCTGAAACACGTTTGAAATTGCATATTCCCCTCTCGTGAAACCTTTTCACTCGAGCGGAATATGCCGTATTCCAAACTTGTTACAGAATATACTATTCCGACGCTGATTAAGAATATTCTACCGGGCCGCAAAAAACGTATTCACATTTATTTCACACTTTGATTTATAAAATTATAATTTAACATTATAAATCATTCATTATTTTGTAGTTTGCCGCAAAAAACATATTCATATTTTTAATTGACTTCTTTTTGCAAAAAAGACCCAACCCACAGTATATTTAACGTTTAGATTTATTTTCTTAAATCAATTTAATTTAATTCAATGTTAAGTTAATTTTTTTTTGTAATAAAGGATTTTTTCTACTCCCACCTTTAAAACGCCCTTTATCGTACATGTTTCCATGACCCTAAGTGACCTTTTAAATACACATTGACAAGTTGTGGCTTTACGCCGCTTTAGTCACGGGCTGAAGTTAGCAACAGGTTTTTAGTCACGGGCTGAAGTTAGTTTTAAGTTAGTTGACAGTTCGTCACCTGAGAATTATAGTGTTCTATCTGCATTTTCTTTTTTTTATTCAGGTTAGTCTTGTTTTAAGTATTAAAGATGCATATTGTTCTATCTATATATAATTGGGGTAGAAATTGTACAGTTTAAACCTTAAACTTTACAATTTCTACCCCAATTATATATAGATAGACCAATATCATCTTTAAGACTTAAAACAAGACTAACCTGAATAAAAAAAGGAAAATGCAGATAGAACACTATAATTCTCAGGTGACGAGTTGTCAAATGTCATACAATCGTTAAAATAAATTGCCTTTCTTGTAAAAAAATAATAAATATGAAAATTATTTTATTATCTCAATACAAAAATACAAAAGTATTAAATAGTTTCTCAACGCCTTTTAATTTCGCCGGCAGTAGGTAAACTATAACTTAAATTGGGGAACAAACTCCACTGTAAAGTGCTCATAAAACATTTTCTTTACTTTCACTGTGAAAAACTCAATTTTCAAGAAATACATTTCGATTTATAACCTTTATAATTGTGTTTATAAAATGTAAAAATGTGACATTTGACAGTTTCCCCTGTTGTTTCATAGATGGCGCTCTATACAAATTTTTGATTTAAATCATTTTAAGATAATAATAAGTATTTGTCGTAGAAAAAGAATGGTATGCATCTCGTTTATAAACTTTTCTATACACTCATGTATAGAAATTCGTGTATAAAATGGCGTTTATCAAACTTGATACATAATATACTATTTTCTTAATTAAAATAATGTTAAGTTATTAATTGCTACTTTCTTTCAAATTTGTATATTTCCAAAAAAAAATCAATTTTTCCAAGGCCTGGAAAAAAAACGGTTTTTTCCCCAATTTTTCCGGTTTTTGTCCGACACTTTAAAACCCTACTCATATCTTAAAAATAATTTTAGGCGGAAGATTTGTGCGAAGAATCGGTGGTGGCGCGGCACGACCGCTGCGAGCACGACGAAAAGAAAAAGTTCCTCAGCTACCTGAAGCTGCCGCTCGGCTACGGGCGGCGCTCGCACAAACGCACCGACAGCCGGGCAGAGTCGTCGGGCGCGAACACGCCCGATCCGATGTCGCCGTCGCACGGCGGCGGGCAAGCGGGGCCGAACGCATCGAACAACAACGAGAACGCGTCGCCGTTGGCATCGCCGCCCGCGACGCCGCTACCTCCCGCCCTCCTCAAGGAGGAGGAGGCGCCGATGGCGGCGCAAGCCCAGCTGCCGTCCGTCAGCGTGATGCGGCGCAGGACGATGTCGCAGTCGAGGTTCGCCAAAGATCGGGAGCTGAAGGAGGAGCAGCGGTGCAACACTCCCGAAGAAGTGCCGGTAAGTTTTAACAAACAGTAGGATTGTGCAGAATTATGTTTTCGCAAATTATACAGAACATGAATATTTAAAAAATCTAATATTTTTTTAAACTTCCGACACTGAAAAATTGGTTCTTAGGCACGTCCAGAAAGTGCTCATCAAATTTGAGCTCTTAATATTAATAGGAAGATCCTCCCCATCACAGTTTTCCATTTTTTCGTTAGGGTATTAACGGGTGCGACACTAAAACTGCGTTTTTTCATGAAAATAAAGTGTTTGTTCATATATATCAATTTACGTTAATATAAAAAATTAGGTATTTAACTCAAACAAAATGTCAATAAAAACTTGTATAGAAAACCTTTTATAACGTCATGAATAGCTTAACGGGCGCGAACTTAAACAATCGGCAAATGCGTCCAAGTTGGCTCTAAAGTTGATACTGTAAAAACATGTATTTCAAATGCACAAATATTGTGAACTTTATTTTCTAAAATTTTCTCAAAATGTAACGGGTGCGACATTTGAACATTTTATCAAGTTTTTATTCTTAATGTTAGCTTCTTCGCATAACAATGTACGAATATTTTAAGGGTATAAATTACGTCGCAATTAAACTATTTGACTTCAGATGTAGTTGTTATTTTGTTAAATAACATATCTGATTTTTTGTCAATGTGGGGTAAGGCTTTGAGGAAATACCCTTTCAGGGTTCCCTCTCACCTGGAAATCCTTGAAAACCTGGAATAGTCAGGGAATCCGTTGTCCAATAAAATCAGGGAAAAGTCAGGGAATTTTGAAAGTCAGCGCAAAAGTCAGGGAATTTGTTAATACACTGCCCGTCAAAATTAACGCATAATAAGTAAAAAAATTCTAACTCTAAAACGCCTTTACCAATCTTTATAAAATTTTGGATAAAAATACTTTAACTTATATCTCAGTTTACGTTTTCAAGGGTTTTTCGAAAAAATATCCTTAAAGCCCTTTTATTTAATATTAAAAAAACGCTCGAAAAAAAACTTTTGTAGGGAATTTTTTTAAGTAAATAAAAAATATGCTGTTAAAGACCGTATTTTTGTTAGTATACCCTAAAAATTTTTTACAAATCAAACGAACAGTAACGAAGATACAGCGCTTCAAAGTTGGTTAAAATGACCCCTTTTTAATTATTTTGTTGAAAAGTGGTCATTTTTACCGACTTTGAAGCGCTGTATCTTCGTTACTGTTCGTTTGATTTGTACAAAATTTTCAGGGTATACTAACAAAAATACGGTCTTTAACCGCATATTTTTTATTTACTTAAAATAAATTCCCTATAAAAAAATTTTTCGAGCGTTTTTTTAAATATTAAATAAAAGGGCTTTAAAAATATTTTCTCGAAAAACCCTTGAAAACGTAAACTGAGATATAAGTTGAAGTATTCTTATACAAAATTTTATAAAGATTGGTAAAGGCGTTTTAGAGTTAGAATTTTTTTACTTATTATGCGTTAATTTTGACGCGGAGTGTATTATGGTAAAAGTCAGGGAAATTTATGACCCTTTTTCGTTGAAAGTCGCCGTATTGGCAACACTGGTATCGTAAACAATTGTTTTCGTACGGCGACGCCGTAACGGCGGTAATTATCAAGGATTTTACACAAAAAAATTTTACACACTAAAAAATCGCAAAGCAATGCACCTGATAAACAAACTAACAATTAACAATAATTAAAACAATTGTCATAATTAATTTTAAATTGTTAAAGTTTGTTGTGCATTGCTTTGATGAATATGGTATATTTGTATAAATGTATACCAAAGAATGTTTTTTATGTTTGTACCAAAGAATCTATTTTATGTTAAACTGTTTTTATTAAAATTTTATTTTAATTTTTATTATAATATTTAATATTTAATATTAACAAAAATAAACGCTATTTTTGACTTAACATAATTCTGATGGGACACTATTTTGGGAGATAATTGTCTTTATGTCTTTCTTTTATTTATCTGGAATTATAGGGACTTGGTCAGGGAAAACCTGGAAAAGTCAGGGAATTTTAAATGGTTTTAAAAGAGGGAACCCTGCCTTTAGTCCCTTATAAAAAAGACCATATTTTATTATTAATCAATCGTTTAATCAAATCTTTATATAAATTTTTTGAAAATTGAATGCTCTACAAAAAAGGACTGATGTGTTTAAGCGATTACTATAATCATTTAAAAGATACTCAAGATCAAAGTTTGAAGAATTTTTTTTTAATAATTTCGTGACTCATTGAAAAATAATTATTGTCCACAAAAAAGATCTGATATATTTAATTGAAAAGATATTCGTATCAGTACGCATTGGCATTCGGAAAATATATGAAAAATAATTATTGTCAAATGAGCATGACATATTTTTGTAGGAAATTTAACAAACACAAAAATTTTCTGATGTGTTTAATTAATTTACTCTAACTGTTGGGAAGACATTTGTATGTCATACTCATTTGACAATAATTATTTGTCTATGATCAAAGTTTGAATAAAAAAATATACACATTTTTTAGAAATTGAATGCTATACAAAAAAGGACTGATGTGTTTAAGGGATTACTATAACCATTTAAAATATATTCAAGATCAAAGTTTGAAGAATGTATTAAATTTTTTTTTAATAGTTTTGGGACTCATTGAAAAATAATTATTTTCAAATAAGTATGACATATTTTTTTGGGAAATTTAACGCTCCACAAAAAAGGTCTGATATGTTTAATTGCTTACTCTGACCGTTGACATATTCGTATCAGTACGCATTGGCATTCGGAAAATGTATGAAAAATAATTATTGTCAAATGAGTATGACTTATTTTTGTAGGAAATTTAACGCCCTTCAAAAATTGTCTGAAGTGTTTAATTAAGAATCCTTACCCCACCTTGATAAAAAATCAGATGTGTTATTTAACAAAATAAAAACCATATCTGAAGTAAAACAGTTTAATTGCAGCGTAATTTATAACCTTTAAATATTCGTACATGGTGATGCTAAGAAGCTAACATTAAAAATAAACACGGAAGAATTTTAATACTCGATAAAAAGTTAAAATGTCCCGCCCGTTAAATTTTTAAGAAATTTTAGACAATAAAGTATACAATATTTGTGCATTTAAAATACGTGCTTGTTTAAGGATACTATTCAAGTTTTACACAAAAAATTATTACTATATGCTTTCTTCGAAAATTTTACAGTATCAACTTTAAAAGCCAACTTGGTCGCATTTGCCGATTTTCTAAGGTCGCGCCCGTTACGCGATTCATGACGTTATAAAAAGTTATCAATACCAGTTTTTATTGACATTTTGTTTGAGTTAAATATCTAATTTTTTTTATCTATTTTTGTATATTAACGTATGTTGATATATATGAAGACACACTTATTTATAGAGATGGGAATCGGAAAGTTTCCATTTTAAGGAAACTTTCCGTTTTGGAAAGTTTCCAATTGGGAATTTATTTTCACTTTGAAAGTTTCTTTTAAGCTACCGGAAACATTCCTTGGAAACATTCCTTGGAAACTTTCCTTGTTTTTTTCATTTAAATGTCAATTGTTTAACCGCTGATTTTCGTTAAGGCCATGATACAAGGCCAAGAAACTTTGAATAAGAATTTAATGTGTGTTAATTTAAAGCAGAAGAAGTATAAATAATGTAAGTTATTTTACATAACCTCAATGAAGCCGGATTATTCAGCATCAACACAAAAAACTTTTTAAAAAAAAAGTAAACAAAATAAATACAATAATCATTCTTACATTTTTGTTGTTTATTTATAGGCATAGCACAATGCCAAGAGAAAAATCTAGTGTTTAGAATTATTACAAAATAGTGCAAAAAAACAAAAATTTTATCAGTCAGAACTGCAATACTATTTTTAGTATCTTTTACTTTTCAATATTCCTATATATTAGTTACTTTGTCCATTTTAATTTTTTTACGTAATATCTAGGATTTACTAGCAGTGAATTTCTAATAGTACTTAAACATTTTATTTTTATTTTGTAGGTTTCAGTATACAATAGGAATATTCCAAAGTAAAAGATACTAAAAATAGTATTGCAGTTACATTCCTATAAACATTTTTTTTCTTAATAAAATTTGACAAAAAGTTAATGTGTTATATATTTTTGCAAATCCCTGGCATAAAAAAAATATTTTCGCAATAAATTTTTTTTTTTAAACTTTCGGAAAATTTCGGGAATTTTCGATGGAAAGTTTCCGGGAATTTTCGTCAAATGGGAATTTTCCCATCTCTACTTATTTATCATGAAAAAACGCAGTGTCAGTGTCGCACCCGTTACAATGGAAATACCCTTAATTACTAAATGTGTTACAAAATTATATAATTTTTTTTTTTAATAAATTCTTTTAATTTTGATCTTGAATATCTTTTAAATGGTTAGAGTAATCGCTTAAACACATAAGTACTTTTTTGTATAGCATTCAATTTCCTACAAAAATATGTATAAATATTTGATAAAACGATTGATTAATAGAAATATGGTCTTTTTTATAAGGCACTAAAGAAAAAATGGAACTGTGATGAGGAGGATCTTCTTATTAATATTAAGAGCTTAAATTTGGTGAGCCCTTTCTAGAGGTGCCTAAGAACCAATTCTTCAGTGTCAAAAGTAAAAAAAAAATCGATTTTTTATGAACCACTATAATGAATAGGGATGGGATTTTAGTTATTTTACCTTTTTTCAACAGATGTAACTATTTGAAAACCGATAATGCCAAAATGTGTTTTAAAAGATTTTCTTTTATATGAACCTAACTTGTTTTCACCTTTTTTACCTTTTTTGGAGGTTTTTGCTTTAAACTACCTTTTTATACTTTTCTTACCTATTTTTTTTAACTAGTTTTCACCTTTTTTACCTTTTTTGGAGGTTTTTGCTTTAAACTACCTTTTTATACTTTTGTTACATATTTTTTATTTATTTTGTTACATATTTTTTATTTATTTATTTATTTGTTACATATTTTTTATTAAAAAAAAATTTTTAATTTGTCAGTTTATTTTCACATATTTGTTATCTATTTTTACGTATTTTTACTTATTTTATTTTTTTGTGTTCTTTTTAAATTTTCCGCCAATATTTTATCCAGGGCGTGCAACTAAACGGTATAAAAATTTTTCTTATGGTCACAGCATAGAAATTATTCTATTATTCTAAATTATTTCTATGGGTCACAGACTGTAACAGTAACTTTCTTTACAGTATTTCTTTGTATTGAGCTTATGTTCTGTCATAGAATTTCTGTGTAGTGAGTGTCACTCAGTGAAACACAGTTTATTGCATAGAAATAGTTTATTGTGGGTAACTTCTGTGTTTGGGTATGCGGCTAAACAAAATTATAAAAGAAACTTGAACTTTTAATGTTTTTTTTACCTAAAATGCTGTTTTTTAACCTAAAATGCTTTTTTAGTACCTTTTTAGTTACCTATTTTTCAGTTTTTAGTACCTAAATATCCCATCCCTAATAATGAATATTAAACAATATCTAAAAATTAAACAAAATCGCACATTTAAAAAAAACAACTTTATTACATCTTTATTGTTTTTTTTTAATATTGAATTAAATCAGTTTCTTTAAAAAAATTGTTAATTGTTAATTTTTTACAGAAAGTTAAACTAAGAAAAAATCAAAAATCTAAGTAATTACAAAACATTTTACAACTATGATAGTTTTTCTTGCTAAGCAAGAATGTGTTAACTACAATCTTAAGCAGGTTGCTTTAAGAAGGGAATTTTAGACTTTCTGTGAAACTTTTTTTTGCGATTCTATTTATTTATATACGGGAAAAACGTTTATTTCAGTTTAAAGATTATTTAATTTTCTTAAAAAATTGTTTTTGCTACTTTTTGTTCCCGGAAACTTTCCATCAAAAATTCCCAGAAGTTTAAAAAAAAATTGTATTGCGGAAATGAGTTTTTTGTGCCAGGAGCATTGCAAAAATAATTAATATTGGCTACCTATATAGGAATTGAAAAGTAAATGATACTAAAAATAGTATTGCAATTCTGAGCAATAAAATATGAAAAAAAACTACAGGCAAAATAAAATCAACATTTTTGAGTGAGTCTGAGTATCGTTTTAAAAAATACGGGCTCTGGAGTTGCTACAATTATATTTATTAGTGCCACCCCATTGATATTTGTTCAACCATCTGAAAGAATTGTCATATTAACAGCCACTCTTGTACTTTATCTTCAACTATTTTTTGGATTCAAGCATATTCAGAGTTAAGCAATGTTGTACTTAATTTCTTTCTTCCAGGTAGCTTGATAAAAACTTCTTCTTTAAATTAACACAAAGTAACTTCTTATTCATTTTATTGGCCTTAGCTTCGTAAATCAGCTGTTAAACAATTGACATTTACATAAAAAAAACAAAGTTTCAAAGGGAGTTTTCCGGTAACTTTAAAAGAAACTTTGAAAAGGGAAACTTTCTGATTCCATCTCTATTTGTTACTAATACATAGAGTTGGCCGTCACTTATATAAATAACCGATAAGTGACCGATATGTGACCATAAGTGACCGTCACATTCATAAGTGACCGACCAATTTTTAAAAGTGACCGATTTTAAATTTCGCGGGTTAATCGCGAAAGAATTTAACTTGTATCCTAACCTTAAAAAGTTGGTAAATAAATAATGTCTGAATTTGTTAATCGGGAATTTGGAATCGGGATCTGAATTTGTTAATCAGGATTATTTAATAAACTTTATTGTTAATTTAAAAAAATGGGTAAGCAATAGTTTGGAATTATTTCGATAAAATGGTAAAAAAGTGGGCAAATGTTTGTTTTGTAAAGTTGAATATATAAGCCTTGCAACCAGAATGAATAAACATTTAAAAATCTGTAAAAAATGTTCAGATAACTGATTCATTTGAAATTAAAAAACTTGATGATAACCTGGTTGCAAACACAATTTTTGTTGATGGACAAACATTTTTTATAACACAAATTTTGCCATAAAATAATGAACTTTCATATTTTATTCTTTAATGTTTTATTTAAAAATGTTTAATGTTTTTTAAGTTTTATTTAAGTATAGCAAATGTGATCTCAAAAAAATTATTTATAAATAAAGTAAATAGTAAATTTACAAATTATTTTAATTTTAATGCTTCCTATTTTAAAATACCTAAATTTGTAGTACAAACTATTGATGGGATATTCAAATAATGAGTAAAAATGCATAAGAATACAGGTTTTAATACGAAAATCAATTGTTTAAATTCCAAGAGTTAAATAATTTAATTTCTGAGGCATGAATAGGAATTAAATGCATTCAAAACCCACAAGAATTGATTGCTTTTAAAATTTGCATTTGAAAAGTAGCTACAAACTATAATTTTAGTTTAAAATTTAAAGAATCATATCACATTCGCAATGTGACCGGTCACAAAAACAATGTGACCGGTAATTTGCCAACTCTATTAACTAATAACTATTAACTAGTAGAGTTGGCAAATGACCGGTCACATTGTTTTTGTGACCGGTCACATTGCGAATGTGACCGTCACTTATAAAAACGTAACAACATTACTTTAAACAATAGCTTGTGTTGAGACTCTCAACTTGAGAGCTTTTCATTGATACCAAATACTTGTATTTTTTTTTATTAAATTGGTTAAGTTATTAATAAAAATGTGATTCTTTAAATGTTAAACTAAAATTATAGTTTGTAGGTACTTTTCAAATCCAAATTTTAAAAGCAATCAATTCTCGTCGGTTTTGAATGCATTTAATTCCTATTCATATACCAAAAAAACTTTGGAGTATGCCTCGAAGCTCATTATTATTTAATATTTTTAAACAAAAAATCTTAATATTTTTTATAGTTTTGTGTAGCTATGCCCAAAGATAATATTATCTTTGGCTATGCCTGGCAAAAAAAAATTATATTTGACCATACTTGGAGATTTATAAATTAAATTTAATTGCCTCAGCAATTAAATTATGTAACTTTTGGAATTTAAACAATTGATTTTCGTATTAAAACAATTATTTGATTTTTAAAAGTATTCTTATGCAGTTTTTATTCATTATTTCAATATCCCATCAATAGTTTACAAATTTAGGGATTTTAAAATAGGAAGCATTAAAATTTAAATAATTTGTAAATTTATTATTTACTTTATTTATAAATAATTTTTTTGAGATAACATCTGCTATACTTAAATAAAACTTTTAAGATCAAAACATTAAAGAATAAAATATGAAAGTTAATTATTTTATGGCAAAATTTGTGTTATAAAAATGTTTTGTCCATCAACAAAAATTGTGTTTGCATCCAAGTTTTTTAATTTCAAATGAATCAGTTTTTTAATGTTATTTGGACATTTTTTACAGATTTTTAAATGTTTATTCATTCTGGTTGCAAGGCTTATATATTCAACTTTACAAAACACACATTTGCCCACTTTTTTACCATTTTTCAAAGTTTTATCGAAATAATTCTAAACTATTGAAGATGGCTTACCCATTTTTTTAAATTAACAATAAAGTTTATTAAATAATCCACCTTAAAACAATACGCGATTCCATATGAGGTACGTCATGTAGGTAATATTAAATATTTATAAGTAGTAGTAGTATCACAATTTTTCTTTTATATTTACATATTATTTAGATGGCTTACCCATTTTTTTTATTAACAATAAAGTTTATTAAATAATCCCGTTTAACAAATTCAGACATTATTTACTAACGCTTTAAAGTTAGGATACAAGTTAAATTCTTTCGCGATTAACCCGCGAAATTTAAAATCGGTCACTTTTAAAAATTGGTCGGTCACTTATGAATGTGACGGTCACTTATGGTCACATATCGGTCACTTATCGGTCATTTATATAAGTAATACATTTAACTTAGGTGGAGGTCCAACCGTACGAAACACGCACGTTTCCCCTGAACGAGGACATCTACGACAAGATGGTGAAGGTGATGCCCGACGACCACCACGAAGTAAAGACGAACGCGTGGGCGCAGGACCCGAGCGCCGACGACAGTTTCGGCGCGCCACCCATTCGCGTCGGTTCGACGGACGAAGGCGGCGGCGCGGAGGGCGCGCGCCCCATCGACCCCGCCCCCGCTCCCGACGCCTCCTCCCTCTCTTCTTACCTGGACGACAAGATGGTCGGCTCGCCGGGCAGCGAGTCGACGGAGTCGGCGCTGGGCGACGAGGACCCGAACGATCCCGAGTGGATCGACGTCGAGAGGTCGTCGCGCGACCGCCACAAAAGATAGGCCGCCCCGCCTCCATTCGGATTTTATTTGTGGTGTGTACTCTCTTTTTTTTTTCTTTGATTGTCATACATTTTTAATTACGATGATATTGACTCTATGTTTACGCTTTTTTATTTGCATAATAGCCCAGTCTGAAAAAAAACAGGTAATACTATGGCACTCCGTTTTAACATTTATTAAATAATTTTATTTTTTAAATTTAAATTTTCCTAACTAAAAATTTTAGGTTTACATTTATAAATTTAAAACATTTTCAACTATCATGTATTGAAAGACAAAATTTACTAACAGCTCACTTCTCTACTAAAAAATATTATTTTCTATCAATTTTTGCAAACATTTCTATCATTTTTTAATAAAAATAATTTCCCAAGTATAATTTATTTGGGTGGCTTTTGTAAGAAAACTTAAATATATTTTATAAAATTATTGAGATTAATTTGGTAACGTTAAATTTTTTATTATTTAAAAATAGTATCAAGCCATTTAAAATAAAAACACATATAAAACATTTTCTACCAAAATAGTTTAAAAAGTTAAATTTTTGTAAACTCAAAACTATTGATTAGACGGCCAAAAAAATCGACTATTTTTTTTTTGGAAAGTATATCGAAAATATTGTTTGGTGTGACAAAAAAAATTATGGTGAAAGTTTGATTCCATAATATTAAGAGGTCTATCATCGCAATTTTAGATTTTTTTTTCCTGAGCGAGTTTTTCTCTCATCATTGAGTTTAACAAAATTGACTTAAGAACATTTTTTGAAGAAAATTGAATGCTCTACAAAAAAGGTTTAATTGGAATTTCCCGTCAGATGAACCGTTTTCTTACAATCATGCCTTAAAAATTGGAATAGTTTTACATTTTGATCTTTTAACTTTGGAATTTTGTAACTCGAGTAAAAATCAGTACCCTGAAAAAAAACGATAAATATTCTTATGGGAAATCAAATGCTCTACAAAAAAAGTCTTTTATAATTTTTTGGCTAAATTCACTCCATCAAAAGTTATTCAAGGTTAAATTTGAAGTCAAAACGAAATTTTAACCTTGAATAACTTTTGATTGAGTGAATTTAGCCAAAAATGTTAAGAGGCTTTTTTTGTAAAGCATTTGATTTTCCATAAGAATATTTATCGGTTTTTTATGGGTACTGATTTTTACATGAATTACAAAATTCCAATTTAAAAATGTAAAACTATACCAATTTTTAAGGCATGATTTTAAGGAAACGGTTCATCTGACGGAAAATTTCACTTTATCCTTTTTTGTGGATCATTTAATTTTCTTAAAAAAATATTTTCAAGTCAATTTTGTTAAACTTAATGGTTTGGGAGTTCTGAGCATAAAACTTGCTAAGGAAAAAAAATTAAAATTGCGATGATAGACCTCTTAATATTAATATTATGGACTCAAACTTTCACAATAATTTTTTTTGTCACCCCAAACCATATTTTCGATATACTTTTCAAAAAAAAATAGTTGATTTTTTTGGCCCAGTCTACTATTGATAATCAAAAAATATTTTAAATATAAAATGCAACTGTAAAAGTTTAAGTTTAAATTTATTGATTTAAAAAAAATTGAATTTTAATATTTTATTCTTCAAACTTATTGGTTTGAATTTGTAAAGAGTCATTTTAATTATAGTCGATAAATTTAAACCAATAACTTTTATTTTTAACAATTTTAAATTGATACATTTTTAAGACTAACTTTATAACTTTACATTTAAATGTAAGTCGATAATTTTTAAATTACAAAGTGTAAACGTAGCTTTAGTAGAAGGCACAATGTTGCCAAATCGTGCTTGCTCCATAAATATTTGACGAGTTTTACAAATTACCGTAATGAAATGTTTCTTTATTATATATATTTAATAATAGAACATCATTTTTAGTGCCTATTGCACTAAGTTAATTTTACAATTAAAACATTTTTTCTAATTTTTTTAAAATGTAGTGCCGCAATATTACGTGGATGCATCATACAAACTTCCGCTTTCCGGCTATTGTGGTGAGGTTAAGTGTTAAGTGTTAAGTGTAGGTCTGTGGTTAAGCCTGCTTTTTAGATTGTCTTCCTTCCTTCCTCTCTTCTCCCGTAATAGATGAACAATACGAAAACCGTAGTGCCGTTTATAGATTCCCGTACGGGATTGTATTGTTCATCTTCTACGGGAGGAAGGAAGGAACGCAATCTATAAATCAGGCTCAACACTTAACCTCACCAAAAAAAGCCGGAAAGCGGGAATTTGTATGATGCATCCACGTAATATTGTGGCACTGCATTTAACATTTTTTTTCTTAATAATTAGAAAAAATGTTTTTTAATTGTCAAATTAACTTGGTACAATAGGCACTAAAAATGTTGTTGTTCTATTATTAAATTTATTTAATAAAGAAACATTTAAATACGATAATTTCTAAAACGGGTCAAATATTTATGGAGCAAGCACGATTTGGCAACACTGCGGATTAAACTGGCTCCGATCGCAGACTCTTGTGCCTTCTACTAAAGTTACGTTTACACTTTGTAATTTAAAAATTATTGACTTACATTTAAATGTAAAGTCATAAATTTTGTCTTAAAAATGTATCACTACTTTAAAATTTAAAACTTACATTTAAATGTAATGTGAGAATTTTTGTATTAAAAATGTATCAACTATCATTTAAATGACTCTTTAAAAATTTAAACCAATAATTTTGTATGATAAAATATTATAACTAAAACTTTTAAAATCAATATTTTTAAAGTTTTACAGTTGCATTGTATATTTAAAATATTTTTTGACTATCAATTGTTTTGAGTTTAAAAAAATTTAACGTTATAAATTTCTGTTATAATATAATTTAAGTGCTAAACTTTAATCTTTAAACTTTTATCTGATAAATGCTAAAACTGCGTGCCATATATACAATTAGCAGCAAAAGTATCGCATAACATGTAAAAAAATCCAACTCTAAAACGCTTTTACCAATCTTTATACAATTTTGGATAAAAATACTTTAACTTATATCTCAGTTTAAATATCCAGGGGTTTTTCGAGAAAATATCTTTAAAGCCCTTTTATTTAATAATAAAAAACGCTCGAAAAAATCTTTTATAGGGAAATTCAGTTTAAAGTAAATAAAAAATATGCTGTTAAAGACCTTATTTTTGTTAGTATACCCTGAAAATCAAACGAACAGTTACAGCGGTCGGTAAAAATGACCCCTTTTGATTATTTTGCTGAAAAGTGGTCAATTTTGACGAATTTAAAGCGCTGTATCTTCATTACTGTTCGTTTGATTTGTACAAAATTTTCATGGATACTAACAAAAATACGGTCTTACAGCATATTTTTTATTTACTTCAAAAAATTTCCCTATAATAGTTTTTTTCGAGCATTTTTTATTATTAAATAAAAGGGCTTTAAAGATATTTTCTCGAAAAAAACCCTGAACAGGTAAACTGAGATATAAGTTAAAGTATTTTTGTCCAAAATTGTATAAAGATTGGTAAAGGCGTTTTAGAGTTGGATTATTTTTACTGGTTATGTAATACTTTTTATGCGCAGTGTATTTTTTTCGGAATTTTGTTTATATGTTGGCCATAATTTTTGGAACCACTGTAAAAAAATCTCACTCTAAAACGCCTATTATTCTTTAGGAAATTTTGGATAAAAATACTTCAACTTATATCTCAGTTTACGTGTTCGAAGGTTTTTCGAGAAAGTATTTTTAAATCCCTTTTATTTAATGATGAAAAAACGTTCGAAAAATAACTTTTAGGGTAATTTTTTTTAAGTACATAAAAAATATGGTGTTAAAGACCGTATTTTTGTTAGTAAACCCTGAAAATTTTGTACAAATTAAACGAACATTAACGAAGATACAGCGATTCAAAATCGGTAAAAATGGCTCCTTTTTGATTATTTTGCTGAAAAGTGATCATTTTTGACGACTTTGAATCGCTGTATCTTCGTTGCTGTTCGTTTGATTTGTACAAAATTTTCATGGTATACTAACAAAAATACGGTCTTGATAGCATATTTTTTATTTACTTCAAAAAATTCCCTAAAAGTTATTTTTTGAACATTTTTTTCATTATTAAATTAAAGGGCTTTAAAAATATTTTCTCGAAAAACCCTCGAACACGTAAACTGAGATATAAGTTGAAGAAGTATTTAAAATACTGTATTTTTTACAAAATTTCATAAAGAATAATAAAGGCGTTTTAGAGTTACATTTTTTTTACAGTGGTTGCAAAAATTATGTGTGTTTTATAGCTGAGAGCAAAAAAGTTTTTTTGTGTTTACTGCTAATTTGTTTGTTCCTATGTCATGATTAATTACTTTAGTGTCGATCTTTGACAACAATAAAGTTTTATTGGAGATAAATTTTATTATCACCTCTTAAGTAAAATAAATAGTTACAAGATAATCGACACAAACGATTTCGCTCGAGACTTTCAGTACATTCATTTAAGCAAAAAAAAAACATCAAATTAATTTTATTTCTTGTTCTGATGGGGTTTTTTAGAATTATCAAAATTATCAAAATACCAACCTTTTTTTAAACCACTGTATGTAAACAAGATTCCGAAGAAAAATGTTACCTAGGATTTTTACCGAAGATTAGCCGATTTTTCGCCTAATTTGACTGGGCTAATGGCTGTGTGCAGAAGGGGTAGCTACAATCATTTGGTCTAACAAATCTGGCAACATCTAAAAAATAATATTTAATTAATGACATAACCTTTCTGCATTTGGCTATGGTTGATGTGAATTGGTCCAGTAAAATTGGAAATTAGCTTTTACAAAATTTATGAAATTTTATAAAAAAAATTAATATTTAGTGTATTTGTTAGGGCAACTTTTCTTTAATTTAATAATCAACCTTGTAGCTCTTTAAATGAAAAAATACCCATTTATTGGTTATTTTTTAAATTAGGTAATATTTTTAAAAATAACTTATTTATGTATCTAAAATTATGCCAAAACCAACAAATAAAATTATAATATATCCAATTTACATATTCTATGTCATTCAACTTATGCGACATATTTATTTAACTAAAACAAAAATGAAAGTAGGTATAGTTTAAAATATTATTTATTCTATTGTGCCGTAAAAAAGTTTATTTTTAAAAATGTCTATTTTTTAAAACTTAAATTTATAACAAAAATGTGTTCAAGACACGAGAAAAGTTTTTTGACCAATTTTGCTGGACCATGGTGGCTTCTATTTAAAAAAACTAATTTAGCAACTGTAAATATTGTACATAAAAATTTTCTAAACCCGGTTATTTTTGCTAGTACTTTTTAAATTCATTTATTTATGTTTTGTTTATAAAGGAATTTAAAATGTAAACGTTTTTACGATGTTTTCATTAAACCTAATGATTTATTGAGAGTTGCAATCATTCCAAATTGTTCTTTTATTTCGATAGTTTGTTAACTTTTTTAATAAAAACACATCAAGCACTTTACATTTGGTTTTTAACTTCATCAACCTAAACCTTAAAAAAATTTTACTAATCTTTAATAGCATGATATTTGTGGGTAAGTATTTCAATTTATCGCACTTGTGTTTTAAAGATCTAAAACGGAATTTTATAGTAATAAAATTTGGTAATAAACTTTTAATGATCTTAAAGTTTGTATTTTTCTTTTTATAAAATGTTCTAACCGAAAAAAACCGGCCACCAGAAATTGACAACAATTTTAATGTTGATTTCCTTGCAAACCACTCATCTGATTTTAATGAGTTTTTTTAAATGTAGGCTGTAACTACTATGGTAGACATTTTTATTTTGATTTTTATTTTATCATAATATGTATAATGCTACTTTTTTGTTACAGAAAATCTGTGTTTTTCTCGCTTAATTAAAATCATACAGTAGTCTTATCTTTTCTGAACATTTTGTTTTTTCTTCTCTGTTAACAAAGAAAAACTGTTAAAGACAACTTTTGTATGATTTCCTCGCGAACCAATCTAATTTTGATGATTTTTTTTCAACCGTTTAATAGCGATGCTGTAATATACATTTTTATTTAATTACTGAATTTGATCAAAATTAAGACGCAGGTGTCGGCGTTTTTTTAGGGGGTCAAATATAAAAATGTTTGATTTTAAGGTTATGTTTGTACAACTGCACACGGTGTGCCTGAACGAGGTTTAAGTCACATAAAAATGCCGCCAAAAACTGATTGCAGAGACTTAAAAACGATATTTACCAAAATCCTAGCTGCTCCTCTTTTAGAAATTTTTTAAAAATGCATGATTTTTTTTTAAATTTTTGTTTATCATATATATTATAAGTCTACCTTTGACACATTTGTACACCGATTTTTTATAATATTGGAGCATATTGTTAAGGAGAGTTGAAGAATACTTTTTATACTGTGCACATTATTTGATATATACAGGGTTAGCCAAAAATCGCCTCTTTTAATAAAGCAAAAGCGTAAATTTATAATTTTGGCATAACACGCAAAAAATATATACCTATTTTTTTTAGATATTTTTATGTTTATCAGGATTCTTATTAACCCTTTATAAGGAAAATTGATTTTGAATAAAATTAAATAAAATAACATTTTTTGGAGATAAATCTTTTTTGTATTATGCTTTTTACTATATATAAAAGTGATTTTTGGCTAACCCTATATTAATCTAATGATGTGCTCAGTATGAAAACAGTATTCTCTAAGTCTCATTAACAATATATAATAACAATAAAAATCTGTGTACACATGTGTACTCTGGCAAAGGTAGAATTTGCGATAAACAAATAATTTAATAAACAATTTACAAATTAAAAAATAAGTAGTTAGAATTTTGGTAAATATCGTTTTTAAATGACCAAAGATTGCCGATCAAAAAACTTCAACCAGTTTTTTGTTCAAAATTGAAAACTACTAAAAAGCCTAAATTAAACAACATTTTAAATATTCTCTAAGCGTTATTTTATTTAATTTTATTAAAAATATATTTTTCTTATAAATGGTTAATAAGAATGCCATTTTGTGACCTGATAAACGTAGAAATATCTAAAAAAAACTTGGGGATAAATATTTTTTGCGTGTTATTTCCAAAACCATCAATTTACGCTTTTGCTTTATTAAAAATATGCGATTTTTGGCTAACCCTGTATATATGAAATGATGTGAACAGTATTAAAAAGTATTAAGTCTTCTCAATAATATACTCCAATTTTATAAAAATCGGTGTACAAATGTGTTCTCTGTCAAAGGTAGACTTTGATATAAACAAAAATTTAAAAAAAAATCTTAAATTTTGAAAAAATTTCGAAAAAAGGCAGCTAGGATTTTGGTAAGTCACCAAAGGGCCCGAAAAAGAAACTGCAATCAGTTTTTGGCGGCATTTTTATGTGACTTAAAATGTCCAAACTTAAATATAAATTATATTAGGTAAAGTTATCATTAGTTAATTCTGCACCAACAAATATATAGGTAAGTATACTTACCTATGTAGGTACATATTTCGTCTAAATTTTACGTGTATCAAACGTAGTTTTAATACTTCTCAGAATTCCTTCTTGATTTCGACTGGGAAGTTTTTTTTATGTTTTATATTTTTAAAAAATATGGAAATTTCATTTTTGTTAAAACATTCGTTTTTTCAAAACGTTTATTTCACGTCAATATTCCGTTACTTTAAAACTCGCTAAATAACAACCAAAATGCGACGTGAATAACACGAGTTGGTTACAGCTCTGTTTGCTGGGATACGTACCGTTTTCGATCCTTTGGTAGTTCAATATTGCTACAAACCAACTACAAATAAAAAAAATTAGATGAGCGGTTCGCGAGAAAATCAACATTGTTGCCAATTTCTGGTGGCCGGTTTTTTTGCCGTTTAATATTAATAAGTTATTAAAATATAAAAAACATAATAGTTTTTGTTTTTCTTTCAGATGTGACGTGACACTGAAGAGTGTTTGATCAACTATAGTTAGTATTTGACACCAGACTTTTTGTAATATTGTGTTAAAGGCTGGTCCATAATTGTTTCAACGAAACAACAATTAGTTTTTTTATTCTCACAAAGCTTGGGATTTTGTATTTGAAAAGTCTGTGATTGTGGTTACATATAAACATGAAAAAATATTTCAATACCGTTGTTGCTTTTTGGTATTGTAATATGAAAATAAATTAAAAGCAAATGATACAGAATTCGCAGGTTTTTGTGTTATCAAATAAATTCACCTGTATTAATTTGTGTTGTAAAATATCTACAGTTAAGTTATTCATTTTTGTATTGTTTCAAGTTTATAAATAAAACTATTCGTTACAGCATATTCATTCAACTTAGGTTTCAGTAATGTATAGCTCAACGACAGTAGTTTAAAAAACAGTGGACAATATTTTTTTAATTGGATATTTTAGTTGTGTACCAAGATATCACTTGAAGACTGTCATTTTGGAATTTACAAGCCAATTTCCATAAAATTAATCTTTATTTTATTTGGTAATAAATTTACATATCTGACTACATTTGCTTACAAATGTTTTAAATTGAAAAATACATTTAACTACCTCATTTGGTATCATTTCAGAAAAATCAAAACTAATCCAAAGTCTACTGTTTATTTTATGGATAATATTGGACACTAAAACTAATTTTTATTGTTTCAAGTTTTAGTATTTGTCCGATTTGAAAATTGCCCATAAATGTTGGGTAAAATTATTTTAATATGCAGATAGATGTGTTATTTGTCTACAGCATATGCTATTATTCCTTAAAAATTGTTAAAATTACTAAAGTACTCTTTATAAGAGTAACATGTATTATAGATTTTTAGAATATTTTGATATATTATATGTATTAAAATTATTTGGTTTTTAGTTATTAAAAAACTCATTTAAAAATTATCTATAAAAGTTGTATGTTGAGATATATTCTACTTGTAAATTGTAAAATTGAAAAAATGAATACTATTTATTTTCAAACGCTTATGTAGCCAAAAAGTTAAGTTACTGTAGTGGTACATACATTTTTATATGCAAATATGTTTTAATAATAATAAGATACAATAAAACATAACTTACCCATATCTGTTTTAATTTTTACCTAAATTTTTTTCCAGCTGGGTAAAAATTTCTCAAGTGGGCCACCCAAAAACCCTTCAGTCAAATTTTTTGTTCAAAATATATTTTTTGGGTAAAGTTTAAGCACCTCCACCGATTTGCCCAAAAATTTGTCTAAAAAATTTTTTTTTGTCTCAAACATTAATGAACTAAGTTTTAAGACACTTTTTTTTTAAAAATTAATATCTCCTAAAGTAATACATTGATTTTAAAAATTGAATTACCAATTAATTCAGATTTTAACGTAGTTTCGATAAAAAAAAATTATAACCTTCAAAATTTGCATGTTTATATATTTTTTAGGTTAATATTTATGAAAAATTGTAAAAAATTGTGTTCTTCATCGAAATTTGTAACGAAAAAAATAGTGTATATAAAAGAAACCTTATTAAATAGATTTGCGTTTAGAAAAAAAATGAATCTCTTCTAGAAATGGAGATATAAAAACATTTATAAGGCGGAGCGCGATAAAACGGGTCGCCGCGACGACCCGCGCGGAGCGCGCCCATTTTGTTTGATGCGTAGGTATGTTAGATTTAATTAACTAAACAAAATCTAGACACAAAACCAAAAGGCGATATTTGACAACAGTCAAAAACGTTTAATACTTAATATGTAGTGGGCTTTGACGTCCTAAACTTAAACCCTCGAACTGTTATTTATTCGTCAAAATATAATTCGCTGGTTAACAGTGTTGTTGTAAAGTCGTTATTGATAAGTGTTTAATTATTAAAATACAATTGTTCAATTAAGTTATTGGTAAATAATTATTTAAGGAAGAAAAAGGGTAAGTTATTTCTGTAAAATAACAGCTTAAATAACAATTTAAGTATCTAGTAGATCTTAAATACATTTATTTCGGTTCCTATAAGTAGGATATATAATTTTATTGTGTGCAAAACAAAATAAAATTAAATGCTTACACGTAATAAAAAGTAAATATAATAAGCGTTAACTATGATTTCGCGAAAGAATCGAACGATCGATTTACAACACATCTCAGATTTTTTTTTAATTTTAATATTTTGTTTATACATCCAATTTAACACTAAATCTAAAATTTTTCTTTCATCTGACTTAAACTTTAGCTCCTAGAAACCATTTAATTTTGCCTTTCACAAAAAGGCCAAATTCCATTATTTTGGCATACATTTTTTATTAAAATACTGAATGATTTGAAATTTGGCCCATGTATGACCCCTATTAGTACCCACAATTCTGTCAAAAAAAAGTTTTAATTTTTTACATACAGGTGGCGCTGCAATTTTTTTTTCTTCGAAAGTAGACGTTTTTTGAAGACAAAAAATTCTCTTAAGCAACAATGCTTAAAAAAACTAAATAGCGTACCAGATAATATAGATATTCCTTTATAATTCGACATATAAAAATTTACTTGCAAATGATGTTGCCGCCCGTAAAGCCAACTTAAAGTTTGGTCTACCGCAATAAAAAAAATTGAATTACACTTTCAACTCTATCCTTATTTTTAAACTAAGGAACTCCAGGTGATGGCTTTTATTGGTAACTAAAACGCAACAAAAAAAAGTTTTATTTTTTTACATACAGGGGGCGCTGCAGCCTTTTTTTCAAAAATAGACGTTTATAAAGACCATAAAGTTACTTAAGCAACATTGCTTAAAAAACTAATGACATTATTTATAATGTATCAGATAATATAGATATTCTTTTATTGTTTGACATATAAAAAATTATTTGCAATAATTAATGCCTGTTGTAGGGACAATTAAAATTATAACTAGTGCACGTACCCGCATATTGTTATATAAACGCCTTTTTTCGCTTTTATTGTTGGATGCGGACAAAAGGTAACAAAACCAAAGAAATTTTAATTAAAAATGGTAACAAGTATTTCAGTGACTCTATAGTAATAGTAATATGACCATTTGTTTAAATATATTTTAGTATATTTCGAGAGGCAAAGCATTCTTTATTATCGTACTTTAAAATTAAACTAAAGTCAAGCCTATAGGCTGGGAATCAAATTACCCCAACAGTTGACAGTTATTACAAAAGTTGAAATTGGAGAGGGAAAATATCATGCTTTTAAAGGTACGCAAAGTTAATAAATTTTCTTTAAGTAAATCAAAATTCTAGGAATTGAATTTTCTTCTGGAGTAAACATGAAAGTTCCTTGGACATCATCGAGTCGACAAAAGGAAAATCTAAATAGGTAATTTAAAAGCAATTAAATATAGGTGCGACGAATTACTTTGCAGTAGGGTTTTTGAAAATGAAGATGATCTTCTAAACCACCTTAAATTTCAAAATCATAAATTTCCTGAAATTAGACAAACTATAGGTGATGTTGTTAGAATGGAATTTTTAAAACAAAAAGATGTTTTAACTGCAACTAGTTTAACAATATCTACCCAAATGAAGAAGATTAAAATACGTTTTTTCGAGTATATGCAAAAGGGTTCGGAAGGCGCAAAATTAAAAAATGACGTTTTAATGAAAAACAAAAAGATTTAATTGGCAACCTTTTTGAAGAAGGTGAAAAAACTAAAATTAAATATACGCCTGAATATATAGCAACAGCTTTACAAAATAATGAAGTAAATGGCAAATTTTAGTTTTCTTCAAACGAGTATATATGCATCCTAATCAGATACGCGGCTTATTATCAAGATTATCGTCAGATAGAAGGTTAAGCAAAAATAGAAAAAGAAAATTAAAAAATTTGCCGGAAGAAATTGAAGAAATTAGCCCAGAAGCGGATGAAGTTTTTTTGAAGTTTTATCAGTTTTAAAGTAGTTCCTTTGCGGCCTAAGTAACTTTTAAGTTATAAATAACCCTGGTTAAAATCTCTAGACTGATTCTGAGAATCGCTCTAGAGATTTGAACCAGCCAGTAGGATATAAACCAGGGTTATTTATAACTAAAAAGTTAGCGAATATACCCCTTAGAGCCCAACAAGTTTAAAATTTAATGTAAAGGTAATAAATATTATTATTATATTAATTATTAGGATATATCTTTATTATTTAATATATGCAAATCTTGCAGATAAATTGTTATATGTTAAATAATAAAGAAATAGTAATATCAATAATAATAATAAAGAAAAACATATTAAATAAAATAAAGAACAAACCTATTAAATAAATAATGAATGGAATACGTAACTCTTTATAATAAAGGAATTCATAACTATATTATCTGAAATGCTATATAGTTTTTAAAGAAAAAAGGCTGCAGCGCCCCCTGGGTGTGAAAAAAATAAAAAAAAAATTTGCTGTGTTATTGTTACCAATAAAAGTAATCTCCTGGAATTCCTTAGTTAATAAATAAGAATAAAGTTGTAAGTGTAATTCATTTTTTTTTAATGCGGTAAACAAAACTTTAAGTTGGCTTTACGGGCGGCAACATCATTTGCAAGTAAATTTTTATATATCAAATTATAAAGGAATATGTATATTATCTAGTATACTATTTAGTTTTTTTGAGCATTGTTGCTTAAGAGAGTTTTTGGTCCTCAAAAAACGTCTATTTTTGAAGAAGAAAAAATTGCAGCGCCACCTATATGAAAAAAATTTAATTTTTTTTTTGGTAGAATTGTAGGTACTAATAAGGGTCATTTATGGACCACATCTCAAAACATTCAGTATTTTAATAAAAAAATTATGCTAATATAATGAAATTATGGCTTTTTGCGAAAGGTAAAATTAAATGGTCTATGGGAGCCAAAGTTTAGGTCAGATAAAAGAAAAATTTTAGATTTAGGGTGGAATTAGATGTATAAACACAATATTAAAATATAAAAAAAATCTGAGATGTGTTATAAAAAAATACCCCAAAATCGTTCGATTCTTTCGCGAAATCATAGTTAAGTATTAAAGTTTCAAGCTTTGCAAGACTCAAATATTAAATTTTAATTTGGTAAATTTAAATATTTATATAAACTTAAATTAAACAGGTGATCGATCTTCGCTTTCCTTGTTACCTTTAGAAAATTCCAACCCCAAATTTTTGCTGCAACCCAAAAAATAAGCCAAATCATAATTGTGTGAGAAAACAAATTAAACTCGTTACGAAAAACTGGAGTAAAGTTTTTTTTAAAGTTGATCGGCAAATATTTGTGTGACTCGTGCAGACTTTCAATTTATTCATTGAGTACTTTTCAATGTAAAAGTGAAAATACTCCTAAAGAAGAGGAAGATAATGAAGAATTCGAAATAAGAAGAGAATCAATTTCGGATAACGCAGCTGACGACTCTTCTCCAGATTATAAATTAAGCAATGAAAATCCTAAGAAAAGGAAAATTAATGGTAAAAATGACGCTCACAAATACTGAGAAACATTGTTTTGTAGTTTTGTAAAATTAATTTCTAATCAATCACAAAATTTACAGATCCATCCCAGAATCAAAGCCCAGTTTCTAGAGTGTGGATAGAGGAAGTCAAAATCGCTTTATCAAATGCAACTTCCAAAGCTGAAAAAATGAGGATCCTTACCACCGTGCCAAGAGATTGGAGTGTAAGAAAAATTCACAGAGAATTAAATGTCTCTCGACGAGCAGCGTGGAACGCGCAAAAATTACGAAACTCTCGTGGGTACGCATCTTGCCCTGATAAGAAAAAGGGGCGGCCATTAAAAACGGACGTTTTAGAAAAAAATGAGGAGTTTTACACATCGGATAAATATAGTCGCGTTATGCCTGGTAGAAAAGATTACATCAAAATTGTCACAAATGACGGTGCACGGAAACAAATACAGAAGCGGTTATTACTGCTTAATATTAATAAACTGTACGGCAAATTTTGTGCAAAAATTACAGAAGTGAAAATAAGTTTGTCTGCATTTACAAAACTTCGCCCTGGTTGGTGCATTCCTGTCGGACCAAGTGGAACTCACAATGTATGTGTTTGTCGAATTCATCAAAATATGAATTTAAAGTTTGTTGGACTGAATGACTATTTAAAAAAACGAAGTGTCCAATGTG